CGTAGATGTTTAGTTGCAGTATTTACACCTTCAGGCGTGAATCGCGGTTTCTTGGAGTAAGTTCTGTTAATGTCTGTTAATTTCCTTACTAAAAATATACACGTTAAAAGTGGTCCATTGTTGCTAGATTTGGAGGCATATTAGGCGACAGCTTCTTTTATTCCGTCTGGAACCATCTGAATCTGTCAATCTCTTTGTTACTGGTCCTCGTTGAAATCATGTGTATGGATGATCTGAAACTAATTAGTTTCACCATGTAGGCTAACAGTTAATTGTTAGCCTACATGGTGTTCGGTCATAAAATAGTTTGGGATGAAAAGAATTTAGCCAATAGTGATAATTAGTTCCAACATGGGTTACAATCTTTGTGTATGGATTATTGGGGTTTCCATCGCGAACTGATCCAAGAATATAATGGACGACGAAATCTGGTCCGTCCATATAATTTACTCCTGCCTCAGTTCGTTTCTGAAAGTGTATACCGATTCGGCTGGTACTACTTGTTCGAGTAGGGTGTCTCAGACGCTGATCACTTGGTAAGGAAAACGAAATCCCACCTTATGTCTATTCGGTCTCTGTTTTTGAACATTTTTGAGATTGCCTCGAGAATACCCTTGAGAGAAACAAAAATATAAAACAGTTTAACACCCGAGTCGAAATTTAAAACATCAAATCCGCTTTCGTAAATCTTACTAGTCTATCAGTATGCCTTAAGGCCTACCCAGAACACCTAAAATAGGCTCTAAATGCATAATGGTAAAACCAGATTTCTTACCCTCTAAGCATACAGTTTCATCACTTCGTTTGATTCCCATAGGTAATCCTTACCATCATTGGCTTCTTGAGTTTGATACTTTGTTTTTTTTCTGCCGCAAACTGACACTATTTGGCTTTGGAATGAGAGTTTTTATTATAAATGTAAAGTAATAAGGCCTTTAATAAGTATGAAGACCCACTCAACAGGCCTGTGTAGACCTGTTATTAAACAGCATTTGTCGTAAATCTTGAGATGAAGCAAATACTTTTAAGAAACACCGTATTACAATCGATAAAACTTAATCTGTGTAGAGGAATATTCGGTTAAAGCAATTGTTACAGACTTGAAGATTCAGTGGTATTAATCACCTGGATTGTGAAAAAGTCTAGTCGTTAAATTACTGGTTTGAAGTAGGAATGGCTAAACACACTATTACCCAGTCAATTTTGACACATTTGACAATGGCACTGCGAGATTACACTGTCTCCAGCGTTATGGCAGATCAAATCTATCTGGACATGTGTAACAACGTGCAGTCAGCTTACTGGACAATCGCCAAGCAATCAATAGCACCAGATATCGATAAAAATATGATTAGTGAAGTAGTTGGATGGGTCGACAACTTCACTTATCTTGGAAGTCTGATCAGCTCTAATGGATTGGTGTCTGGCGGAATCTTTGGACAGATTCAGAAAGCTTGTTTAGCTTTCGCCAACTTACGTCATCTATGGCGAAGGCGAGATATCCGTCTATCAATTAAGGGAAAAGTATACTGCGCGGCAGTTCGTTCTGTTCTACTTTACGGCTGCGAAACGTGGCCATGAAGAGTAGAAGATACTCGTAAGCTATTAGTATTTGACCACAGATGCCTTAGAAATATTGCTCGCATCTTCTGGGGTCACTGGGTAAGTAATAGTGAGGTTGGACGCAGGGTATTAGGGAATGATGGTAAATCAGTTGATGAGGTTGTGAATCTTCATCGACTGAGATGGTTGGGCCACATGTTGCGTATGCCTAGACACCGATTACCACGACGCACAATGCTGACTAGTGTTGGGGATGGTTAAAAGAGAGTTAGGGGCGGCCAAACCAAAACGTGTCAGCAGTGGTTAAAGTCACTAACTTCTAGTGTGAGCCATGTTGGTAGATGCAGACTACTTGGTTGGGTTCGCGTGACTATCGTAACCAATGATTGGAGACTGGGTGACAAGGCTCATAGCTGACTGACCTTCGCCAAGGTCACCTATAGATGCAGTCCCATGGTAGCCAGTGACCAGCAGTTGGTTCATACGCCATTTGTTCCCTCAGGACCCTGAAGCCCATATGCACCATTGGTTTGGAATCAGGGTTTTCCAACTCCCCTAGGTGGACTCTCCATATCCACCAACACTGTTAAAGCGCCGGACATTCGCTTTTCGTCCTCTCAATTCCGTAAACAACACTCCCGCCACGAGAAGGCAGTGAGTAGGACTTCCCTGGCAGAGGCTGTATACGCGTGACCATGTAAGAGCATTCCGAGAGGGAGAGCAGACTCTCTCCACTCTCGGCCGTACCAGGGCATTTGGGGGCATGTGGAATGTGTAACAGTCATAAGCCTTCGTCATATTTAATGTCGATAACCATCATGACATAATTAAGCAAAATTAAAAGTTACAATTAGTTGTATTTATAGCTTGAAGATGGCAATCAAGGAATGTGGAACGCTTTTACTTATGGTAATGTGTAGCCAATATGTACCTTTCACATTACTTTCTCTAGGAAGTGTCTTCAAGTAACACGAACACATGTGTAAACTATTCTTGCATATGATTGCATCAAATGACTAGTCTGATGCGTTTACATCATGTCCCTAAGTAGCATTCAAAATATATTTCGTGAAACTAGTATTTATGTTGTCCATAGTTAACATGCCATATCTACCGAAAAAAAACCTTGAGTGATATTTAGTTATTCTTTATTTGATCTAACGTTAAGCCTCAACACTGACAAATATAATTCTACATTTTCTTGCTCTGTATAAAGCTTATTTTTACTTATAAATTGAAAATTTTTAAACAGCAATACTAAAATATTTTTCGAAATGCTGCTTCACAATCCTCTAGTTTTTGCCTAAGGTGTTTAATTAATTGAGTTTCAGAAGCGTCGTTTAACAAGACTCTTGTCTTTTTTCGAGCTAATCGGATATACATGTAGAAAATAGGTGTTAAATCATTGAAAAATTACCAAAAATAATCAGAAGCATTCAAATAATAAATGAAAAGTTTTATAAAAATGGAGCGATATTACTTGATTTGATAAAACAAAGATTATTGAAGGACTCCAATTATTGGATATAACAGTCTTTAACTGGGAGGGCGTTGTTTCAAAGCTGCCGAAATTTTCCTAGTATTTTATAAAATGGATATTTTTTTCACTTAGCAAAATAATCAAAAGTTACCTAGGAATTAAGCTTCGAATAGTTTCGGACGTAATAAGAAATAGTTGTTTATACGATAAATCCAAAAAATAACTTTTTATTCTACTTGAAAAAAAAAGGTTGGTGAATAAGGTAATAGTTAGCACTTACGACTTACAGAATTAGGAGGGGCCCTAAGACCGTGAAAAATTTAAGAAGTAGAACGTGACTCTCTCGTACACAGGTTAGGTTTAAAGCGGTGAGTTGCTATAGCTTCAGCTGTGCATAAATTCTTTATCCAAACTTTCGAACTACTTTTAAATTTGTAGGTAATCTTGAATGTCGATTCTCGTAATTGCACGTGACGAGGATTAACCATATGTTCAAGGATTGAGCCGCTGAATGATTTGCATCCCTCTTTACAACATAATGCTCGGATATTTGTTTAATGTGTGCACACTTTGTATGGCCAGTATAAACTCCTCCACAAAAACAAGTAAACTGAAAAATGCACGTTGAGGTAGCCCAAAGCGGAGGTTTATCTTTTACACTTAACCGAATGAAGTTCTTACTGGAGAAAAGAATTCGGAGCTCCGCCGAATAGTGTCTCTTAGGGATCCGGATAGTCTGTTTATCTCCGCAACCGTATCTTCTTTGTTCATAAATAATACTTTCTTTAAGCCTATGAGAGTACTTTTAACTTGGCATTTTGATTCCAGGATATTATCAATGAACTTGGTCTCAAACCATCTTCCTGAAGTATTTTTCGAATTTTATTCAGCTCACCCTCGATTGCGTCTTCCGTGTGTATTCGTTTTGTTCTTGAGGATAGAGGACAAATTAGATTTCTGTTCCTACTCAACAGCACCCAACTCTGGAAATTTTTATGCTGCTCATTCCAGGGTGGCTTTATGAATATCGATAATCGTAGAGATCCATATGGTTTTCGTCTCAGTAAAACACCAAGAAAATAAAGTTCCGAATCCGAACGAGGTTTTATTTTGAACGTGATTGGATAGTGCAGTTATTGAAATCTTTTAGTACCTTATTATGGTCACTTTTCGTCACAAATGATGAATAGATTACCCATACATATTCTATAAAAACAAGATTTTCTCGATCGTGGTTCGAACGATAGTGTCCTTTATCGCGAAATCAAAAGACTTGATTTCATGAATCCAACAACCAACGTCAATGTATTGGAAAAAAAGTGATATCGTTAGACCACTTCTCTGTTTACGAAACAATTTATTTTTTATACGATCATATTGACCATGAAAAAGTCAACATCAAAGTTGCAAATACTACCTAAAAGATCTACTACTAGACAAATAGATAATGTTGCATTGGAATCATTGGGTCCTCTTGTAACAGACTGTTTTTCGGCCAACCTACAGAACATTGTCCTTCGAGCAACAAGCGATAAGTCTTATTTTACTAAATAATTCAATATCCATTTCACGTTTTACTTAAAAACTTTCGGCAACTAGTTATTCTGAACCAACGCCCCCCTTGTTTGTAGACTGTTATATCCGACGATGCCATACTACTTCATTTTTATGAACTTTCCTACTTGATACTTGTGGTTATCGTTGGTAAATTTGTTTTCTTTTATTGTTGACTAATACATGTAAAAGATTACCCTTAAATATGATTGTAAAGCTCAATAAAATTGATATAATTGAAAAGAAAGTTTTCTTCTCTAAAACATCTTCATTCTTTTTTATTAGTCAGTGGGTTTCGTTTTTATTCAGTATTTGTTTATCAACATATTTCATATTTGACTAAATGCATAATTACAATTACAGAAGTTATTTTTCAGAATAAAATGACATTCAACCAGTTTAGATGTCTACATACCCGTTGAATATGATGTTGCAACACTTGGTAAGTCTGGTATAAATCTGCGTGTCACTACTTTGTAAGATTCCAATAATAATTTAGCTTAATCCTTAGAATTCTCATTATTTAAAAAATACCTATGTATAAGAATGTTACTGGTGCTCTAATGTCTTGATTACTGATTTTGTCATTTGTTCGATTGATGATTTGTGTGTGTGTTGATTATTCTTGTCTTTGCGAAACGAAATGTATCCTAGTTGTTCAATAAATAGGAAATAAAACGTATGGTCTAATACAACTGCATCGTTTAGGTAGTATCCTGCATTCTACAGTAGTATCTCAAGGTAAACATAAGATGTTAAGCAGAACGGAAGTCATCAACCGATAGATTGATCAAAAGCTAAAGATGTATGTAGAGATGCCCTTGTTTTATTAGGTCACTTGAGAATGATAGCCACTAATATCAGTTATCTCGTGAACCTCAATTTATCAACCACCTACATTTCTCTAATATAATTTAAACTGGCTACTGGGATTCCTCCACTTTCCTCATTCAGCTACTATTCCATTCAAAATATTAATTTTCGTTAAGAAGTAGCTTTCCCATCAGCGTTCTTCATTTTTTGTTTCCAATTCTCTTGACCGATTTTCTTTCATTATCTAAGACCTGTAACTTCGACAGCATGTAGAAAAAGGATCTATCACACCTAAATGAGTGATTTCTCAAAGATATTACTGAACAAGTATGAATATTCATAGTATTTGTATTTGTTGGACGTTCGACATTCATTTCTTGAGCGATTTGCAATCGCTGACAGCAGTTCACAATAAAATTAGACCGAAATAAACTAAAAAATTGCGGTTTTTATTAATTTGATTCTCAATTATCTATGTCTAACGTAAAATCATTGTTATTAAATCAATTGTGTTTTGTTTTTATTCCCTCACTAGCTAACTTACGTACGTTCATTTTGCTCAATTCGATATGTAGTTAAATTTTTACCAACCGGTTCGTTGGCTCCGAGATTAAATATTTATAGTCATGTATTATTAAGTAAAAATGCAAAACAGTATGATGATTGTGCGTGTTCGTCATCAGATTCCAATGTGGTAAGCTCATTTATTATTATTTTATTTTTATTTGAACTTATTATGTTTATTTTTCATGTACAAAATTATGTACACTTTATATTTGGTAAGTATATTCGGTTTTTTATTATTAATGAGAGCAGGTCCTTCCTGTGTTTATTAAACCTAGCTTTGCTCATGTTTAACGACTGGCGGAGTTTCATCATCGCCATCTTCAAAGGACCACTAAAATGACATCCGGTGGAAAGATCATGGTAGTAATGTAACCCGGCAATTTGTTTGGATGCAATTAGTGTCATCGTCTTGAAACACCAGCCTTGGTGAAATGGGAATGTTTCGTAAATATCATCCCAGTGGCTTCTGTATTAAGAATTAATCACCGACTCTAGGGCAGAATAGAAATAGAGGTGGTTAGTTAATGAAATGACACCGTGGTTTGAAAGGTAGTTCTGTAAGACTGATATCTTAGTCTCCCTCAATGTTTTATCACTTTTCACTAATGTCACCCCTCTCGTGGAACCATTTGTCTTATCCACAAGTACATCAGTAGCGCTATGTTAAACATTAAAATATAATAAGTAGATAAACAATTACATGGGCATGACTCATGCTCTAAGTGTGTAGAATATCGATTCCCTATCTAGAAGTATTATCATAGAGAGATGTATCTGCTCGAAATCGTTTGCAATGGCGCATGTGCATTCAGTCTTTGTGTTCTCCCAAATTCTAATCTTCCGAATTCTTCATGCCCCTTTTTCTCTCTTTCCAAGTTTATTTCTCTGGATTATACTCCCTGAATAACATCTTCAGACCCTAAAGTTTCCGATTACTGCTTATACTCTTACTACTTCTACCACTACGGGATTTGAATCGACAACTGCATCTCTGTTCTAATGTGGTATGGCAACTCGAACTGATGTACGTACGTACGAAGTTTTACGTTGTTACTGACTGTATCTGCAGTGTACATTTTACGTTTAACGATACAATTTGCAAGGATCTTCCCCTATATCTCTTAATACTTAATTAATTTATGAATAGCCCCCAAATGCCCTGGTACGGCCGAGAGTGGAGAGAGTCCGCTCTCCCTCTCCAAATGCTCTCACATGGCCACGCGTATACAGCCTCTGCCAGGGAAGTCCTACTCACTGCCTTCTCGTGGCGGGAGTGTTGTCTACGAAATTGAGAGGACGAAAAGCGAATGTCCGGCGCTTTAACCGGATTCCAAACCAATGGTGCACATGGGCTCCAGTATCCTGCGGGAACAAATGGCGTATGAACCAATCGTTGGTCACCGGCTACCATGGGACTGCATCTCCCTAAGATGCTCCACTGCCTTGTGGATCAGACCTTCAGGTCGAAGGCTCGGGGAGTGGCCTCTTAAGAAAACCACTTGTTTCGGTTTGGGCACCCGTGCAGTATCACAGCCCTCACACATCGAATGAGATTTGTGCGGCGCATATGTATTTGGTGCCTCATTGTACCGATTTTTATATGTTAAAATAAATAAATAATAAATAAATTTATGAATAAGAGATCAGTATTGTTAACAGTAAATTATAAAATGGATCTTAATAAGAATTCCTTTAGATAGAAACTCGATTCTCTAGTAGTTACTAAAATTTTTGATAGTTTCATTATTTAATGATCACAATAATTAATCAATTTTTATATTATTTATTCTACATTTTATTTTAGTTATATACTTCAAGTTATACAGATCTTATTAGCAGTAATGATGATAATTATGACGAACAAAATCGGAATTCATATCTAACTTCTTCACCCTGTTATAATGACAATCGAAATACTGTTTTAAATTCATTTTCTATTTCTAATTCACGTAAAAATTTAAAAAATGATCAAGAGTCTAATATTCCAGTGTATTATGTTGATTCATTTTCCAATACATATACTAGTTTCCCAAATTCTGAAATAAAATCTTTAAAAAACAATACTGGTGATAATGATAGTCAGAAATTAATTATGAAATCATCAAACAAATTACAGTACAATAATTATAGATATCGTCGAAAAAATAAAAGAGGTATGTGAGTTTATCTTTTGTATATTTTCGGTAAATTGAATGTAAAATTTTGCGTACTGTAGCAAAAATAAGTTTATGATGGTAGATGGTTAGAGCTGATCGGCAGGAACTTCTAGCTTAGGCCTTGTGCTAGTCGATACTTATTAGCAAGATGTAAGTTGAATCTTAAGGGAATCTTACAGAGCGAATCAGTTCCCGCAAGATTTTAGGTACACCTTGCTTACGAGGGTCAATCATCATCTAGGGTATCCTACAGATTAGTTCCAACCACTTAACATCTCAGTTTAGTGGACAAATTGTTCATATACCAGCACTAAAAGAGGACTTGAAAAACATGACATTGGCCACTACTACTCAGTAGTCAGCAAATGCTACAATAGTTTAGTAGTTATATCTCATAATACTAAAAAATTAAACAACTCGAGTTTGAATCCCGCATAAAGCATCAATTCTCTCAGGATTGCTAACAAGTGTAAAGTAGCACGAAGCGTAGATTGAGCAATGTTTCCTGCCGATTTTTTCCAAATATTTAACATTATCAGCATAGTGCAGGTGTTTTTAGGTCATTTAGACTGATGACTACATTGCAACATGGAATGCGACCAGCATTGAAGGATTAGGCAAACATGGGATTGGTCATAGCTCCGTGACTGATCATTCGTAAAGATCTTTTTTGCACACGTACTGTAACACATATCAGTGTTAATTACATTAAAGTGCAACTACTATGTCATTAGCTTATACGATTGTCGCGAACTACGATTGTCAATTTAGATACTCTGACTTATACGACCAACTAATGACGCATACATCAGCACGAGCAGCCTAGAGTTCTTATTGGTTCTTTTTCTGCCTAGTCCTGCCTGTTAGGTCCAGAACATTAGTATCAGCCTTCACTAACCGAATCATGTACTTCAAACATGATGGGTTTATGTACAAACCAACCAGATCACATCATACTATAAGTAGAAAATAACAATTATACAAGACCAAGCCCAAAGTGGCTGTAATTGTGAGAGATTGTTACTAATAAATTGGGAATATCTCAAAAATAGTAAGTCGTATGATAATAGTCAATAGGTCAAACTAAAGTTTATAATGAATACACATATAATATAGTTACTTAATAGTCATACAATAAGAATATATGTATAATATTAGTCCATCGATAGATCCCATTAGTTACCTTTCAATATTCTCGTCGGGATATAACAGTAACATACACTCATCGTTTCCATAAAATGTTATGTTCATAGTAAGTGTTGTCTACTTAGAATCACTTGTACAACCAGCCTTAGTAATTCATGTCACGATCATAAGAATATGAAATATGTGAAGTGTTGCTGGATTATGACATTCATCTGTTAGATAATCTTATCTATTGAACTAATCACGGAAGTATACATCTTATTAATTTGCTTGTATAGCACAAACATTTCGGTAAAACAGATTTTAGATTCACTGACATCAACATACTCGAGGTCAGTTAGAGTCAGAAGATTATTTTCGCTTCTTAAAATGTTAATGTATGAATATATCTAGAAATAATTAATGATTCTACAATAAATAACAATTAACTTAAATTAAAACTCACATTCATTAGGGTTAAACTCATCAACACCAGTCAACTCTTAGCATGGGCAAGCACAATGATAACCTGTTCAATATGGTTGGACAGGTAAAAAATTTGTTTACAATTAACAAATAAAGCACAAAAACAAAGTTACACTATGAAAGAAGACTAGTTACACATTAGTAATAGAGTTGTTAGTCACAAATCTCACCGAAGGAATGCGCTACACAACGTAAAATAACAATGTCTGTAAGAAAATAGAAAGAGATCAAGATCAAGTAATCAGTTTTATAAGTCGACGAAAGTGATATTTGATTTTAAAAAATCAGTTCATTTGGAATCCAAACAAAACAAATTTCGTTCAATCAGTAAAAAATCCTTTTATAAAGAATATAAAAGAAAACTAAAGTGGGTCCTCCACTGCATTTTTTCCGAATCATTTCTGAAAACGTCTCATGTTATTGAGTTACATGATTCCTGCGACCCACCCCTTCCAATTAGGCACTTGTACTAAACCAAAAGATCTCAGTCCTATACAAATTTCTCTTCTACACCATGTCACCATATCCATTTCGAGTGACATCTGTCCATGTTATTTCGTTGTTTAATGAAATTCATTCTCACAAAATGGGGTTGTGGAGGCTGTTGAATTTTATCGAAATCATGAAACCATCCAAGTTAGACCATCATTGAAAACCTGGGAGCACTGGTTGGGCGCCCACGTGCAGAGTTGTGGATGCACACTACTGGAACGAAACGACCGTTCAGTGCTTCCAGGTTTTTAATGGTGGCCTAACATTGATCGGTTCATGATTTCAATGAAACTTAACAATCTTCACAATCTTATGGGGAAAATGCTGTTCATTTATTTTTACAATTGATTTCTTTTATGTTGCATACGATAAAATTTTAAAACAAAATTACTCTTCCATCGATATAATAGGTGATTGATATCAGTCACTTTTCAATAAATAACACGTAGATTCTAAGAAAAAACATGCACTCTAAACAATGGAGTTTTGAATTACTATAATTGTAGTAGTAAGAACAAAAACAGTGAATACAGTTATAAAAAAGACGCATTTATCAGAAATAAAACTCATGATTTGGTAGAAGATAAACAGTGAATACATCTGTGATATTGCTACCGATTTCAAGCTGTATTATAGCTGAAGTCTCGAAACTATCCATTGTGATCATCATATGGACCTAAAACAGAAAGTCAACACCTTCGCACGACTCAAACCCGACTACTGATCAATGGCTTTATGAACACTGATAATACATCCGTTTTTGGCTTGACTTCTTCCAACTTGTTCTTATGTGCAAACAACCACCACTGCACATATTTGAGTTGACAGTTGAATATTTGGATTTGCCAGACTTTTCAATTGTCGTAAGCATGTTCATTTTTATTATTGGTGAGTAGTGACTTACTAATCGTAAACGTTTTTTCTTCATGCTGAAAAACATTTTTTTCTCAAATAGGAAAGCGCTTTAGAGATTCTACCAAAAATAATGGCAAACTGTATGATAATAATAATAGTACTTCAGACACTACAAACACCTCTGATGAACATTTTCATTCATCATCTAGATCAAATCGTATTTCACAATTGGAAGCTGAACTTTCTCGTTTAAGATCACAAATTGCTCAATTAATTTTAGCTCAAGAATTAGGTAAATCAAGCACGTCTGACGTAGATCGAGATCGTTTTCTTCATCGTCCAGATGCAGATGGTGAGAGTGATACTGCCACTACTACTGCTGCCATCGCTGCCACAGGATCACCTAGTCTGATGCAACATGATAAAACAAAGTTTTACAACAATCTGTCAGAATTTCCTATTCCTTCAGTTAGTTCAACTTCAACATCATTAATACTACCTCCACCACCAATACCCCCTCCACCGCCACCACCGCTCATGATTTGCCATCAAAATGTAAGCACTTTCAAGCAAAAATGAATAGTAGCAAACAGTGGAATCCAGGATCTACATCTCGTTATGTCTAGGACTTGTCGACTAAATGTATCTGCATCTTGGAGTTGGTTTTCAGCCAGGGTCTCTAAAGCAGTATCTTTCACTTCAAACCCCATCACGGTATCCACCTTGCTACTGAGTCCAAATTGCACCATTTCTCAAACCAGTGACTATCTGGACTCAGTAGCCAAGTAGATAACGTGATAGAGTTTTGACATGAAAGGTATTGCGTTCGAGTTTCTAGATTGAAAATCAACTCCAGGATGTTGGTATATACAGATGACGAGTCCTAAGCAGGACGAAACGCGCATCTTATATTTCACTGCTAGCCACCATTCAACTCTATCTATAATGTATGGGTTACTCATATTAAAATAGTCATTGCAGTTGGTGTTATTTCCTTTTCTTTGTTTCTCATCTTATTTGTCTCTTTTTAACTGCAATCATTTAAATTGCAATAACTTGCATCGGGAAACATCCATTTCACATCTTAGGTTGTTGATAACTGATTGATTTGTAACCTTATATGGTATTTCAATAGTATATTAATTAGATTAGAAAATCCAACTTAAACATTTTGAGTGAATGTTCATTATCCTAAAGGATCAATCAAATTTGAGATTGGAGCTCATGGCTTCTTATGCAAAATACATAATTCGTTGACGGATAGATCATTTTTGTATTAAAAGTCAAAGAGATATTATGAATATTTAATTAATAAATGTCTGCAATTAATAAATATAAGATGACTAAAGAGTATGGACCATGATAGATAGATTTTTAAATATAAATTAAGGGTTGTTGGTATTTAAAATCAGGGACACATGCCTAAGCACATGTCTAAATGTGACACTCATCTACTCAATTTCTTTCCATTACTCATAATGTCTAATGTTATACTCTTATTTCTAAACTTAATCCTAACTGTGTTAATCTTAACCCGACTTTAAATTTTAACTCAAACTTCTAAGCCTGAATCCCGCCCCCCCCCCTCCGAAAAAATTCTTATTACTTATGAGTTTTTACTTCATAAACTTTTCAACTAAATTTTTAATCATTCAGAATTATTATCAGATGTTTTGTGGATATTATAGTAATTTTTATATGGCGAGGTCATAAGTCAATTGAAGCTAGACTACCATGAAAAACCTGGAAGTACTGGACGGCTGTTCAGAATTAGTTAAACTTCATTTAATTAATCCTAATTATCATTAAAATAAATTCATTTCATTAGCTTTTCAATTATACTTATTATCCCATGTTAATATAATACAACTAACTCAGCTTGAAGCCCCTCTGGAACTACTGCCGGTCCCAAGTCCGGATAAAGGAGAAGGGTTGGGCATGGAATTAGCGACCCCATCCCTTAGGAAACTAACTCGCTAAAAAAACGCTAACCAGAAAAAAATATATATATAATACAACTAACCTGTGAATTATTAAGGTTTTTTCCAACTACCTGTTCATTAGCTAATCGAGCAATAATTAAATCTTGTTGTTTTTTCTCTTCTTCTAATAATTTTTGTCTCTGTAATAATTCTTCATGTGTTTCTTCCCATTGTTTTTCTTTTTTTTCATAATTAATAATTTCATCATGAAGTTTTTTTATATCATTATTTATATCTGATTCTGACATCATTGTATTCCTTTGTAATAATTGACTATTACCTGTGAATGATTTATATTCTGTACTTAATATAGAATTACATTGATCAGTACCAGTTTTTAATTTATCTAATCTACTTATACTACTTGTATGATGATTATGATTATGATTATGATTATCTACTGTTAAATTAGGACTATGATAACTACCATTCAATTGTATTTCATCTAATTGTTCATTAAGAAAATTACATTCTTGTGTTTTTAAATCTAATGATTGTTTAGTTCGATCTAATTGCCAAGTGAGTGCATCAACTTCCGCTTCTAAACGTTCACATGCATTAATTAATATATTGACTTGTTCATCATGTGTTTGTGTATTATTTAGTAAAAACATACTTTTCATCTGTGTTAAAAAGAGAAAAAAAGGAAAGAAAAATGAATACCAAAGAGGAAATTTATGTTTTAATTTATTTTAACACATAGATGTTGGTACAGTCAGTCAGTCAGTCAACTACAACGTAGGACCAGGCACATATATGCATCGGTCCAGGTTGCCATACCGCATTAACACAGCAAGATGAATACCGGATTCATAGTAGTAGTTAATTCAGTGGTGGTAATATATAGGAGAAAGATTGCATATAAGGATACAGTACAGGAAGAAAGAATTAGTTACTAGAAAGAAAGATATGAAGTGATTTTAATCTCTTAGTTTAAGGGAAGACAGGGAGTGTATACACAGATATTGGTACAAGGAGGCACCAAATACATATGCGCCACACAAATCTCATTCGATATGTGTGAGGACTGTGATACTTCCCGGTGCCCAAACCGAACCAGGTGGTTTTCTTAAGGGGCCACACCCCGAGCCTTCGACCTGAAGGTCTGATCCACAAAGCAGTAGAGCATCGTGGGGAGATGCAGTCCCATGGTAGCCGGTGACCAACGATTGGTTCATACGCCATTTGTTCCCGCAGGATACTGGAGCCCATGTGCACCATTGGTCTGGAAACCGGTTAAAGCTCCGGACATTCGCTTTTCGTCCTCTCATTTTCGTAAACAACGCCCCCGCCACGAAAAGGCAATGAGTAGGACTTCCCTGGCAGAGGCTATATATGCGTGGCTATGTGAGAGCATTTGGAGAGGGAGAGTGGACTCTTCCCACTCTCGGCTGTACCAGGGCATTCGGGAGGAGGAAATAGAATGAAATAAAATAAATAATGAAGTAAATTTATTATCATCTCAGTCAGTCATATATAATATAGAAATTGACATATATGCGGGTGTCGGTTCAACTTATTGCATGACAACTGCACAAAAAATATAATAAAATTATCAAGGTAAATATCAATTATTTCATGGATTGATGCCATGTATTGATTTGTCCATCTTTACCTTTCTTCCATGCTAATATTTACACTAGCACAGGTTGTACTTTGAAGTTGATGTTGGTTGGACATATGTTAATGGATAAACGTCTCTGTTGATATAAGCAATGGCTTAGTGGTTGGTAGAATTAGGCATTTTAGTGTTTAAGTCATAAGTCCAAACCAAACTCTATTTACTATAGTTCAAGAAGATGAACATTACCGCTTATCTTCAGATGAAAGACTTCACTCAAAACCGAGTAAATAAAAATTGTTTTATGTAAATAAGTCAAATCAATAACTATACATGAAAAATAATGACATGTCAGTACAGAAAACATTTCTATTTACTTAACATTGTACTCGTCAACGACTAACAGATAGCGACTGATTCAATTCATTGAACAGAAATGGTAGATAATATTTGACGACACGAATAACTGTTTGATAATGTTAAGAAATGATAGATTAATTCTTTTTACAATGACATAGTTCTCACGACATACATCATATTTATCTCATTACTGTGAATAATTTTCAGTTGAAAGGCCTTCTGACATTAAGCGTGCTTGATTATACATTTATGTATATCTTAGGAAGTATGAATAAGTGTAACGTAATAGGCTACTGAAAGAAACAGTATTAGTCAGTCATGATCTACATAGAGCCTAGAACAAATAACTTTCCGCTTTTCAAAATATCAAGATGAAGCGAAACTAAGAAGAGGAATTGTGAAGAGATCGAAATAATGCAGTGACAATAAGACTAAATACTGAGAATATATAGTCCGAAAAGGCAGAAATAAAAAGTATATATGAAGAAACAGAGGAGGTCAATACGTAAGAACAAAAAAAATATTGAATAGATCCGAGCTAATGTAACCAATTCCGAGGTTTGATGAATACATCGACTACATCCACCATTCTTGACCAAATACAAAAACTGAAATCATCTTGATCCATCTTTATAAAATATTGTCTGTTAGCCCACATTCATTAAGCTCATTGACAACATACGATTGTAGACGTGTGGTGTGTTACTTATATCCACATACGTAGTATATAACGGTGGTCAGGCATAGAATGTATTTCAGTAGAAGATCAATAAGGAAAGAACGGGAACGGAACGCAATCGGTATGAAAATACATAAACAATGGAATTTGAGACAATGGACTGATATTTGCAAAAGGAACAGTCAAGTTTGAGACGATAGATTGATATTTTGCAAATCAATTATTTACTATACGGTTTTCAGTTTTTAATGAGATGCTCTGTAATTTCGCGTCAAATACATTCGGTTGGCCCTACTCGTGTTCTTGCTCATTAGAGACGTAATTTAATAGAACTAGTTTGAAATTACGCGTTTTAGGTTGTCAATCTGTTATTTATAAGCATACATTGAACATTGAATGTCTAGGGGCACAAATTTAGACAAACAATAAAAACAGTGTATATATATATATGTTTTACAATAATGAGTAACAATTTTTAATTACTTTAAATGCTTCAGCATCAGTTTGATATTGTGCAGCATATCGCCGAAATTCCGTTAATTGATTTTGTTGTTGATCAATAATAGTACGAGCTTCAATTAATGCTGTTTTCATTTCATTATTTTGTACTCGTGCATTTTCCAATTCTTCATGTAATTTAAATATATCATCTTCTGTCATCTGTTCATATTAAAAAAAAGAGATGAGAACAAAATAGAATTTTACAGTGTAACAAAAGTTAGATTTTCCGATGTTTCGTCACGCAGTATAAGTCACTTCTTCAAAGAATGTAACAAATGAATATTATGGTAAACAGAAGAATTATTTATGTGATTTCAAAACAAACAGAGAAAAAGGTAATAAAAGATCATAGAATCAGTTGAATAATAATTTGAAAATAATTTTGAATTAACTAACACATAAGAAACTATGAATTTTCTTATATTTAATTAACTTAAAGTATGAAAGGATAAGTTTCAATTGGTATTTATAACTGTGATTTTATTCAAAGTAGACATGTTAATGAATGGTAAACAATTGTTACATGTTTTGTTATATATAGAATATATCAATTATGTGTAATATTGTTTCAGTTTTAAAGTTTCTAAAATGTTATGAATTAAGCAACGATTAGTTTTATATCTACAGAGTTATCAATTTAACTTGTAAGTTAAAACAGACACAGTTTTTCAAAGTTGAATACATGAGTCGATCTAAACTAGACCACCATTAAGAACCTGGAAGCACTGAACGGCCGTTCTGTTCTAATAGGTGAGTCTTCAGAAGTATGCATCAATAGTCTGTACGCGGGACTTGAACCCAGGACCTTCGGTTTCACGCGCGAATGCCTAAACTCTAAACCACTGAGTTAACACGAGATGTTGTTAATGTTTAACTTCAGTCGACCCATGACCTCGCGTAACCCTTCATCCATTACTTGAGGTGAATAACCGTCTCATACACGGGACAGACGGTCTTGGGTTCGTGAGCGGACCGTGGATGAACACTGCCGAGGAGTCACATACTAGGAAAAAACGGCTGTCCAGTGATTCCAGGTTTTCAATGGTGTTCTAGCTTAGATCGACTTGTGAATTCAACAAATCCCCATACTGACATTTTTTTAAAGAATATAAAACATAAGTAGAATATGGAACTTTCTATGAAGTAAAAAAGAACGTAAATGACTTCATTAAACCAAAGAATTTCGAGTTATAGATACGATGTACCAACGACTGAGGTACAAATGTGCAAATACTTCAATACATATTAATTCAACATTTTATATAAAGTTCTCAAGATACGTAATTATTTTTGGGGTATGATCCGTACTATAAATTAATAGATTATCAATGATATATTCCTACTAAAACTTTACGGCTCAGCAATTAACATTGCGACAATTAACTGAATTAAAGGATAGTAAATTACAGTTTTGTTGGAAGCAATGAAGATGGAATTTTACTTCAAGAAACTGTTAAAGAAGGTCTTTTGAAAAGATTAACTGAACGTTCAAATGTAAAAGAATTACCATTGAGACTTTTGCGATTGGAAATAAGGAATTCAATCACTGAATCAAAAGTTATTCATTGATATCAGCAAATAATTACAACTTTTTCAAACAACCTAATTACAATGATGCATAAATACATTTGCCTTTATAATGGTGAATAGAACTAATCACTTCTCCATCGATATGTCCAGCTAGTCTTGAACAATCATCAGATTCTAGGTTTCGTGTTAGGTGACATAAGAAATCACTTGAATCCTGGAAGTAATTGTAATCATGTCTTTGACTGATACTAAATGAGATAGGTTCAAATATATTATGATGTACCAAATCCCTCAATACTATTGGCATACCATATTGACAAGTGCTAGCTAACACAAAACCAAAGTTTAGAGCTTCCCATTGGTCGTCTTAAACCTTCTAACTATACCGTTTTCAAGAGGTCAATCCACAGAAAACAGATCAACTAGTCAACTTAAATGAAAAGTCATTAAATAGGTTGTAGTGACAGCAATGTAAACAAATTTATTTTCTACCGAATTTCTTCCAGTTTTTCTTTCTTTTGGTGTTTAGTTAATACCTCGACTGAGTGTTGACATAATTACCTGAATTTTTTATTGTTGAAAATCACGACCTAACAACAATTAATAAGTTGAAATTATCAATTCAGGTGACACACCCTAATTTAATTCAATATACATACAGTCACCTAAGTAAATAAATTGAAAATTACCATAATAAGAATTTAATAAATCCCATTATGTTAAGCATAATAGAAAATAGAGTGAATGTTTATCTATCTCAACGATTACAATGTTTAAATTCACTTGGTATTGTTTACTTAAATGTTCCTATTGATGTTTAAGACTGCAATTGATCAGTCTCTTACTGGCATATTTGCATACTGTGTGTATTGCCTCGATATTATCTTAATTCACAAGTATTATAAGCAAAGATGGATAGTGGCTAGCAGTGGAATTCAGGACGCTCATTTCGTTCTACTTGGTACTCGTCAGCCAGATGTACCTGCATCTCAGAGACTGATCAATTGCAGTCCTAAACATCAATGGGAAGATACAAGTAAACAATATCAAGTGAATTTAGACTTCAACCCACTGCACAAGCAAGTGGCTATCAGAACTCAGTAGCTGAGTGGATGACGCGATGGCGTTTGGAGCGAGTGGTACTGGGTTCGAGTCCCGTAGTGAACATGAACTCTGAGATGCAGGTACATCCAGCTGACGAGTCCCAAATAGGACTAATCGCGCGTCCTGGATTCCACTGTTAGTCACTATCCATCCTTGCTTATAATGATTAAAATGTTTATTGCGATTCTTTTTTATTATACAACTAACATAATTGAAAGATAAGCAGTCAAAGAATACAAAATACTGTTTTCATAATAACAATAATTTCAGATACCAAAATGAAACTTAAACTGATTTGTTGTGGAAATTATTTTTATTCAATGTCAAAGTTAGAGACGTCACCATTTAGATATTAGGTTTAGGTTTAAGATTTCTTATCCACTGGCTTCAGTTAGGCATCACTACATCAATCATGTTATTATTCAATTGTTAGATGTCCAATAAATAAGAAGAGATCAAACTAACAAAAAACAACTATAACAAGTAATATAAAACCTAGACAGTTTGAATTGTTCTACCATTAACCTACCCTTAAGTCAGTATTATTAAATAAAGATTTTAGTTACTAGGTTTATAAATAAAAATAACTATGACCTTTGTGATGAATTACTGAATTTATTAGATAATTAGGTCAAGTTGCTGTGATTCACACAGAAACGAAACTCAACTAATTAGTTACATAAGTATTTATATGATTAACACTTAAATGTATGCGGGATTGTGTTGGTCAAATTTGAAAAACAAATCAAACAGTTTTGTATGAATATAGATCAATGATATGTTTATCATAATACATTGATGATTATTCTGATAGTTAAGCTTAAAATGAAAAGAAACTATTGAGAATATGACGTCGATTCTCGATCGTTCCTTCCATAGAGGTTATTGAATGTTATATATTGTGGATCATTTCAATGTTGTTAATTCATTTCAGTATAAAAAAAGATAAGAGGAAGTTCAGTATACAACATTGTTGCTTTTAAAAAAAAATTAATTAAATGTAGCAAATATTGTCATTGCCGTATATGACATAGCTCATTGGTTTTCACATGATTGTAGGTACGTCTTGTTGATAAGTGTCAACTAACGTTAGACTAAAGTCTTATAATACTTGTTAGGGCGAGACTCTAATTTAGGGACGAGCCAATCAGAAGCGTTTGAGCAATTTCAATTATCTGCCTATCAGAAGACAGTATAAAGTAAAAATATATTACAAGAAAGCAATGAATTACAGTGGATATTCTTCTTTTACATGATTAAAAAACTTGTTAAGATTTGATGAAGGCTCAGAAGTTCTGAATTCATAATGCATACGGTATAGAAACTCGTGCATAGGGTTAGGGTTTAGGGTTAGGTTAGGGTTAGGGTTAGGATCAGGCTGCTAACTTGAGATCGGTTTACATCGGATTTTAGAGGTTAGGGTTAGGTTTGTAGCCTAGGGTTAGGGTTAGGGTTGTAGCCTCTCAATAAATACCTCTTCTCTAAAATCCGATGTAAACCGATCTCATGTTAGCAGCCTGACCCTAACCCTATGGACGAGTTTCTATACCATATGCATTATGAATTCAGAACTTCTGAGCCTTTATCAAATCTTAACAAGTTTTTTAATCATGTAAAAGAAGAATATCCACTGTAATTCATGATTTATAATATATTTTCACTTTACACTAAGTGTCTTCTGATTGGCTAATAATTGTCAAGGTCATTTAGGATTCGTTCAAAGGTCGTCCCTAAATTAGAGTCTCGCCCATGTTAGCTACTTCTAACCACTATATTATTAAAACATAGTACAAGCAATATTAGGTCACTTTAACATCTGATTGATAGAATTCAGACTAGACAAATAAGACATTGGCCATTACTTCACAGTGATTAATAATTGAAAATATGTATACTACAGAAGATTCTGAGTTGGAAATGATGGAGTGACAAATGCTTTACATATACTCATTTTCACATCGTTTATTGTAGCTCTATGAGTTTGTCTCATTTAATAAAAATAAGAATGTTATCCAAATATTCCTTTTCTTATAAGTTGATTTTTAATTGAAGTATACGATACACAATCAAAATTTACTCCATAGAGAATACTTTATACATGCACATATACATAAACATGTATTAATATCATCGTTGAAATCTTTCATATTTGTCAAAGATAATTGTCCTAGATTCCAATCCTAACCACCAATCATTTCTCCTTATAATCCTTGTGACTTAGAGTAATATCGAAGGGAACCTCATAAGATGTAACAAAAGTCAATAAAAGACTGATCAATTGACAACAACCAACACAGAAAGGAAATTATTATTAACTGTTTTTGAAGTTGAAATAGAACAGTTGAATGGTGTATACTAAAAATAAAGTCGATTAAGAACTGTTAAATATTCATTTTTATCATGGTTGATACGAAAAAATAATTTACTAGTTTTTCAATGAAATAAAAAGACAGACAAATCAATTTGTCGGCTTAATCATATAAAAGATTAGCTGTTTATGAACAATGTGTTCAAACACTCTAAAT